TACTCCACGTTTCCTCTCACCACACCTGGTTGATCCAGGTGTGGACCCTTGACTCAAAGTAATCAGTGCTTTTCCCTAGGAATTGTAAGTGGCAGGAGTGGTGGAAATGGGAAGCTAAGAAGCTGGTAGAGGGAATAATGTCTCCTTGTGAAGGAAAACTTTATAGACCATAGATAAAGCTGTTATGAGTTGAGAAGCACAGCTCATGAACACTGTAAACACCCAAGACCTTATTTTGCTATTTCGAAGGCCCACCCAGATCCCCAGGCTTCTTATGGCTTGGCTTTATACACTGCAGTTGAATTCTATTAACTATCAAATTTCCATTTTGTCTAAACTAGTTCAAGTTGGGAGACATTTGTGAATAAAAGTTTGCTAATACACAGTTGTATTAGTCCGTTCTCACACTGCTACCCGAGACTGGGCAATTTATGAAGAAAAGAGATTTAATTGACTCACGGTTCTGCGTGGCTGGGGAGGCCTCAGAAAATTTACAATCATGGCAGAAGGGAAAGCAGGTACGACTTCCCGAGGCGGCAGGAGAGAGAAGCAAGCAAACGAGGAACTTGCCGCACACTTATAAAACAAACATATCTCGTGAAAACTCACTCACTATCACGAGAACAGCTTGGGGGAAACTGCCTCCATGATCCAATCACCTGCCACCAGGCTCTTCCCTCAACACCTGGGGATTACAATTCAAGATGAGATTTAGGTGAAGATACAAAGCCAAATAATATCAATAGTCCATTGTGTGTATTCTCTAAATGCCACATTTTGTTCACTCAGTTAGCAATGTTGAATGACTTTATCATGAACTCTATATCCATGACTCCATCAAAACCTGAGATATGTCTTAATCTGTGATGTTTAGACAGTTGCTTAAGCCTGGACTGTAAGCAGCAATATCTTCAGTAGTGGCTGATTCTTTTTGTGAAATTGAAATCTCTCAAGAGTGACTGATGAGGCTCACATGATGTTGGCCTATAATGCCATCCTGTCAGTACATATTTTAGTCCGTGCTGAATCCAGGACCCTGAGAAACCTTATAGCCTAGGATTTGATTATATATGCGGTCAAGAACATATACAACATACCTCTGCACTGGATCTTTTGGGTTTTTTTTGTTTTAATTTTGGATGAAAAGCTCTCAGCATATTAATTCCAGAATATACACTGAATGACATCAAGCCAATCCTTGTACATTAAGGCTATTGTAGGTAGCATGGAGTCTAATTAATTTAGAATTGTAGAATTTATTAATTTGTTTCCTGATGGCATTTTGGAGTGATTTTAGACTACATATTGTTGCTCATCATTTTTCAAAAAATAAGATTCTATCAACTCTAGACAATGCCATTTTAGATAAACAGTAAAATGGGCAAGAGATGAGAAGCCTTCAGTGGAACATGTATTTAGTAGTTTCTGATTACTTTATCTTCTGTCACTGCATGAATAACTATAGGAGCCAAGAAGACCCTGTTACAAATACAGAAGCACTGCATCCCAAGGCATTTATAAAACCTCCCAAATATTAGCTTCATTCTGGCTCCATCCTACTGACCTCTGGTATTGTAATCGTCATCATTTTCCTCTAAGACCTCTCCCCCACTATATTACAATTGTATTTGTATTTAAAGCATTATGGCCAGGCGCGGTGGCTCACGCCTGTAATCCCAGCACTTTGGGAGGCCGAGGTGGGTGGATCACGAGGTCAGGATCGAGACCATCCTGGCTAACACGGTGAAACCCCGTCTCTACTAAAAATACAAAAAATTAGCCGGGCGTAGTGGCGGGAGCCTGTAGTCCCAGCTACTCGGGAGGCTGAGGCAGGAGAATGGCGTGAACCCGGGAGGCGGAGCTTGCAGTGAGCCGAGATCACACCACTGCACTCCAGCCTGGGTGACTGAGCGAGACTCCGTCTCAAACAAACAAACAAAAAAAGCATTATAAGTATTTTACTGGTCACCTTTTAAGATTGATTTTCTGAAGGAGCTTATCTTTGAACCTTACAGATCTGTGCAGGCTGCAGCGAATTAAAGCATCTCTCTCACTGGCTCAGTGCACTACGAATCGGTGCACACCAGCAGGTGGCAGCAAAAATAAATAAATAAGCTAAATAATGAATTAAAAATACCCAGAGAAAGAGGGCCTCTTATTTAAATCTTCTTCCAGTTTCTCAACCTCCTATCTTTCTCATTTCTGTTCATTTTCTCTGATTTTGAAAATACGGCAGAATGATTGGTTGATGTAACAATATGAGTTTTAATTTGATTTATGTGGAAGAATCAGAAAAGATGGAAAGCAAGTTTTATTTAATTTTTTGCATTTTTCCTGCCTTGGTGCTCATCTGCCTCCAAGGAGGTCTTTGGCAAGCCTTCCAGCTGATGCTAAAGACAGTACCTCATCTTTGACTGCAGTGAAAGCTGGAACTCATTGAGGAGATTTTCGTGGGTGATCCAGAGAGGTAGGAGAAAGAGGTGCTTGGGAGGAATAAAAGGGGAGATTTTCCAGGACTAGGCGGGAGAAAGGCTGCAGGTTCTTGGAACAGGGGGTACCTGTGGTTCCCCTCCCCATGATATGACAGGGTTAAGGCAGAACCTGTAGGCTTGGATGTTGCTAAGCGTCAAGGGAATCAGGGAGGATGGATAATTGGAGGGGCCATTACAAGTATTTTATTCCACACAAGATTACTGGGATCTTTATCTGAACCTAGGGTAGGAGAACCCCCAAAATAATAACTACTAAAACTTAATGTCGTGATAACTCAATGTGATGTGTGTTCAATCTCAGATTTATTTAGATTCGGAGAATATAAAGTTGAATAACATTTTAGACCCTCAAGTTTCTAGTGCAAGTTCTATCCTTTGCACAATCTTAGGGTTTTATTCTGCAGGAACAATTTCTCCCATAATGGGTAGGACTGAAACTTTGTCCTAGAAACCTCCTCTCTTGATGAAAAGTGGAGATATTTTCAGCCTTCTATTGTGTGACAGGAGGTCACTTCCTTCGGGTAGACGATGAAGGAATAGGTTGCCCTACCAGTGTCCCTGGAGCATCAGTCATTCTATTTCAGTCCCAGTAACAAGGGGACAGAGGAGACACAGGGGACTGGCTTATAAGATATTCCTTATATCTAAACTGTCCCCATCTGTACTATCAGTTCACAGGCTAAGAAGCTAAGGATGTAAAGATTATAATTTTCCACTTAAGACATTTAAAAACTAAAACCATATTAACTAAACTTCCACAAGTGCCCTCCAAGTTTTTAAGGCATTATCTCACTGATATTCCTTGAAACCTTACAAAACAACATTTCCAATTAAAAAGATGCCACACGTCTGTGTTTGGGTGCTATCAATAAATAGAGACACACTGAGGTATAGAATGATAAAATGACACGCAAATAAGGAATCATAAAGTCAACTTTACAGCCCTTGTGACAGCCCCTGCATTCAGAGAATCATGTCTTTTACTAAATTACAACAGAAGTCTTTTTTCACGGAAGATGCAATATATTGGGTTCCTCATTTGAGGTCATTCCTGAGTACAATGATTTTATTATTATTATTGAAAATCTCTTAGAGTGACAAGTACAAATTGAAAATCAAGATTTGTATCAGCAAAGCTTAAAGATAGATTAAAGGCATTGATTTCGGTTGTACAGAAATATAGGAAAAAATGAATCACACAAGCTCTCTGAAAATCCACTGCGAATGTTTCTCGTAAAATCTTAAGACCAGGTGCTGTATGGTCTGAATAGCACTCTGAAATCTAGCCAGTGGAGGGCAGTCAAAGAGTAGTTCATAGAATTCGAGGGTTCCAGACTCTTTCCATATTTCTTGCAAATTCCTGCCAGTAAGCTTTTCTGACTTCATAAAATCCAGTGCGTTAATTATATCATTTCTGGATTCTGGATTCATGTTACCATTATAACAATTGTTTCCTTACAGGTGTTGGTTTCCTTTAAATTTTTCAGGATCTGAAGTTGGTGAAGTCTTATTAGGTGGATTTTCCTTCATTTAATGTGCCCTAAATTGCTTTTTATAAGACTCACTGCAAAATAGAGAATAAAAATTTTCTCTGTATCTGTGAAAAGTCTGAATATAATTTAGAAATATTGAATGAAGGATTTATCTGCAGTGGAAGGGAGCATAAATAGAAGGAGTTGCCAGATAAGGAAAGATAAGAAAACCTTCCAATGTTTAGAGTCATATCAGAAAAGTCAAACGCTTGGTTTTAATTTCCCAGTTACTCAAACTACTAAATCCCCCTGAGAAACAGTGGGATGGAAATGCCCTTTTGGGAAGAGTTTCTGGTACTTTCAGGGGAAAATTGTACAGAAATAGGCACGTTTGCTGCATTGTAGCCTCAAGTCATTCCTACTTCAGATCCAGCCTGCCCCCAGGAAGTGGTGAATCAGTGATACATCAGAATCAAGAACTTCACATGAACACATATGAAGTTTAGTTTTAAAAATAGGTGAAAGTTCAAGAGTGACGTTTTTAAATTTGTTTTCAAAAATTGTTTTCATATTTTAGTTGGAACAGTCAAGCAACATTCTTGTTCAGTTCAATCCAGCAAACAATTTATTGCCTCTGTGCACCAGGCCCTGTGCCCATCATGAATGGAGGAAGGGAAATGAATGCCACCAGGATAAGCAAGCGCCATTGTGGAAGTTGTTGTGGAGGATAGATCCTTCTCACTCTTAGTAAATGTGATGCTCTTGACCATTTGCTATGCCTTGTTTCGAAATTCGTGCTCTTGCCACCACCCCACCATCCAGCCCAGTAACATCAAGATCACCTGGGCACTCGTCAGAAATGCAAACCTATGGTTTAACAAGGCCCTCCAGGTGATTCTGTTGAGCACTCAAGTTTGACAACCAAGTTAATCGCCCCTGAGCAGGTAGATTAATTTTCTTGATACATTTAAAGAAAGAACTGGGCATGCTTAGCTCCGCCGCCCTCTTCTTCCTGAGTGAAGTGTATGCAGAGGGCGTGGCTTCTCAGCTGCTCCTCTAAGCAGAGGCTCTTTCCACCCATCTGGAGATTGATTCTAGAGTTCGGTATCACATTTGACTGCAGATGTAAGACACTTTTTTCAGCCTAGTTCTGTCAGAAATAAAGGTAATATTTTGGCTTCTCCCAACCCTATTCCTTGTCTTATCTTTCAGTTGTTAAGAATGCAGGCAGGGAAGATGGATTCTGTTAAATGAACCCCCTTCAAGACTCCAGTGAAGTTCAGGATCTGGCAGAGGGGATGGATTTATATAGAAGTATATTTAAAACAGTGTACATTTCATAGTCATAACATAATTCCCACTCTAAAAAGCTTGTGTGTCTCTTTGCAGTATGTTATCTTTTTTGTTTTTTTCTGTATTTTTATATTCTTTCGATTTCAGAAATAGCAACTCTATCCATATAGGAAAATTTGACATTTTATGATGAACAAAAAAACCTAGCTGATCAGATATCATTTAATTTAAAAATGTATTTCCAAAATGTTTTAAGAAAAGTTATAGGATGGATCCATTTAATTTTCATGTAAATATATTGTAAATTGATGACTGAGAGTGATTTGGGTGACTTCTTTTGGAATCTTTGCATTATAAACAAAGCACAGGTTTTACCTGTAATTGAAAATTAAAATTTCTATCCCCTTCTCTTATCTCAGTCTTTCCCATCCCTTTCTGTCTGATTTGCGTTACTTTTCCTTGTCTACCACGATCATCAGGGACCCCTTCCTCCTTTGAGTGCCCATAGAATTCATGTCTTGGTCTTCTTTACTGACACTTTATCTGTGCTTCTTATTTATTCATGTCCCGTTACCGCAAATTCTTTCTGAATACACAGCACCTTACTCTCCTTTATAGTCTCAGCACCACAGTAGAGGATATATATGTATGTGTTGATTATAAGATTTATTTCTTATATATTTTTAACATTTTTATTCCTGAGTGTTCAAGAAATGATTTAAGTTTTAGTTACAAAACTTTTATATAATCTATTATATAATTTTTAATTCATGTATTAATTTAACCTTTGAATCTGTCATTTAAAAATGTCTCATAGAGACAGAAAGTAAATTATTGGTTGCCTAGGGATGGGGAAGTTGAGGGAAAATGGGTATGAGGTTTTTTGGGGGGAGCAATAAAAATATTCTGAAATTGCTTGTGGTGATGGTTGCATAACTGAGTGAATATATTAAAAATTATTGAATTGCACATTTTTAAATGGGTAAATTGTAGGGCATGTGAAACATCTCAACAAATGTATTATTTTTTAAAAATCTCATATGATAAAGGCTAGAGTGACAGAGCTATCAGAAAAAGAGACGAGCTCTTTTCAGCTTTTAACTTTGATGCCGATAGGTTTGTCTCCACAACTTATAAAAACTTATAGAACAGAAAAGAAAGATTAAAGCCATGACAATCTTTTTGAAAAATTCATATTATAATCTTTTCTTTTTTATTTCTCTTTTCCATACATATATGTGAGATATTCTAAATCTTACTCTAGTTCTAGGCAGATTTTGTTACTAAATTCCAAACCATTTTCATTTCCAAGAAAGGGAGTTCCTCAAAAATGGAGCTCTTACTTGAAATGAAAGGCTTGGCTATATACAATAGCAAAGATATGGAATCAGCCTAGGTGCCTATCAACAGTGGATTAAAGAAAATATGGTACATATTCACCATGGAATACTACATAGCCATAAAAAGAACAAAATCTTGTCTTTTGTAGCAACATGGATGCAATTGGAGGCAATTATCCTAAGTTAATTAACACAGGGACAGAAAACCAAACATAGCACATTTTCACTTATAACTGGGAGCTACAAATTGAGTACACATGGAAATAAAGATGGGAACAATAGGCACCGGGGCCTGCTAGAGCAGGGAAGGGAAGGAGGGGAGCGTGGGCTGAAAAACCACCTATTGGATACTATGCTCACTACCTGGGCGATGGGGCCACCCATATCTCAAACTTCAGCCTCATGCAATATGCCCAGGTAACAAACCTGTACATGTACCCCCTGACTCCAACTTTTTTTTAAAAAAAGAAGAGAAATGGGAGGCATGGTGACATGTTTTAAAAGCTGCTAAAGAAATGAAGAAGTTGTATAGTGTGTTACTCACAACTTCAGTGGTCTACTTTGTTATTAGCAATGGTTGACATTTACTGTTTATTATCTTTGTTTATAGGTGAGGCAACTGAGGCAAAGAGGTATTAAGCCCAAGGTCACTCTGCCCATGAATGACAAAGCCAGTTGTGAACAGCCTACAACGAGAACCTGGGCTCTTAAATAACAGGTTTTGCTGCCTTTGATGAGTAGATCTTTACATGAAGGCGAGTTCTTCCCCATTGCCAAGGCACGTTCCCTGTATGGATAGAAAAATAACAAAGCACTGAAGTGTCTGCTGGGATGGAAAAGTAACTATTAAAAAACCAAGGCTGTGACAAAATGCTGAATTAGAGTACATTCAAATCATAACTGCTCAATAGGCTCAACCAATATGAGCACTGTTCCTAACTGGTAAACCTAGAAGTGCATTCTCTACCTGGAGGATCTAGTGAGGATTAATCATAGTAGTTTGTGTGAAAGTGCCTGATGTCTTGTAGAGACCCAATAAATGTTTGATTTCTTGAATAATACAAGTTGGCATATGTTGCCCCTCATACATGTCCTATTTTATTTACATATGATGCTTTAAGGCAGAAATTTAAAGTGCTGTATGAATGTTTTCTTGTTACTCATAGCCCAGCTGCAAACCCTTGATAATTAATTTGTCCAGGTTGGAAAAAGTTTGTAAGGTTGGAGAAAACAGAATTGAGAAAGGACAAATAATAAGTATAAAGAAGAAATTATCCTGATTATACTGTTTTCCTGTGGACGGATGTTATTACTAGTGTTAATACTAAAGTTTTCATTACCCAATTAATTAGTTCAGCAATATTTACTACATGCTGTCCTCAGTGTCTGTGATTATTTAGGCCCTAGAGATAGAGCCAGCCGTGGATGAGACAGATCATAATTAGGTCCTTCCTGGAATTTACCTTTTAGGAGATGGAGAGAAAGACAATAAACAAGTAAAATAAACAAATGAACTAGAGAAATCCTGGTAGTGTTGAGTTCTAATGGGTTAGCTAAGAGTATATGGTTTAGAGTCGAATTAGAACCAACCCTCAGAATTTATTTTGCTGATCCTAAAGGACAACTTGACACTTACAAACTATTGATCTTGCCACAAAAATGTCAACCGTATTGCTATCGAGAATTTCGAGTGAAGTTATTTGTGATCAGAGCACTATATAATGATGATCAATTTTTGCACAGTGTTTTACAGGGTGGACAGCACCCTCCAGGGCATGGGCTAATAGAATGACTTGATAGTATTTTTGTTTAAGGGCAAGGTGCTGAACTCAGCAGGACTCTGTCAACAGGCCCTGCTGAGTGGCCACTACCACTTCTAAGCAAAACCTAGTCCATTAAGAAAACCTAATTTAATAATATTAGGCTTGCGAGGTAAAATATTCTCATTTTTTCCCTCATTTTTTTCTGAAGAGGATTTTTATTGTTTTTCTGACTGACTAATCATTCACTTATCTGTTAATCTTCAAGCTGCAGGTACAGCCAGGGTGGTCGTAATGTGATCTTTTTAGTCAGATGCACCTTTGGGCCCCCAGAAAGATAAAGATGTCTCCTGAACTTAAAAGATGAATTCAGTTTTGTGTCCATGTAGTCGTGAGGTTTTGGTTAACTTCGAGTGACTAGTTTTTGTGATTTTATGTAGCCACTGTTCGGTAGTAATGAATTAAGAGGGCATGGATCTATGGACTTGGTTAAAATTTAGTCCCCAAAGGTGAGAGATCAGTACACACTTTCTACCTATTGTATCCCCTCCTCCCAACCCTTGCATGATGGACAAAAGGAAACTGTTCTGAAAGTAGGCTGTTAAAAAAAATCTGTAGGAACATCAGCTTGGAGCTTAGGAAAAGGATGTTTTCTCCAATTTATCACACGAGTTTACTTTCACTGTAGAGGAAAAGTATCCCCTTTTTACTTTGTACATTTATTTTCCATCTTTCTGTATCTTGCTTTAAGAAAACAAAAATATCATTTTAAAGTCACCAAATCAATGGTACAAATAATCAGATCCCACTGACTTAAATGAAAATGTTTTCAGACTACTGATGTTATGAAACAGTATGTTCAAGTTACAAAGTTGGGTTCTATAGGCTGAACTATGTGGAATTTTGTAGTTAATGTAGAATATTAATCAGTTTTATATGGGTTAAGTTAACCAAATAAGCCAAGTTAAGTTTTTCAATTTTGTAAAGACAGACATATCTGAAAGTGACCACATAAAGAAAAACAAATGGTAATCTCTTCACATTGTGTTTAGAGTAAAAATGAAGGGGCTTCTCCCTCTTTTACAGTTTAGAAAATAAGGATAGCATGTTCCTAGAGAATTCAAAAGGCAAAATTTAGAGAGTAGATGATTAATGAGTTATTTCATATTTGATTTTCCAATTCTGATTACCTTAGCTTTTTTTGTAAGGAGGTAGCACTATGCTTTGCAAACAATGAATGATTTATATATATCCATTTGGTTGATCTGAAAGAGGTGTTTTTTTAAATTTATGGATGAACAACAGCTTGCCTGTGTTCTTGACCTTGAGAAAATGCTACTGGAAACTGAGTGTGATAGAGGTTGTGATAACTAAGGTAAACTCAATTCGTATAACCAGAAGTCTTGGTAAATTAGGTACTGAATTTGATGATTAGGCTTTGATAGTCTCTGAATAAAGACTTTTATCTCTGAGTAGGGGACTCTGGCTAGTTTATTCCTGCCTCCCCCAGTATAGGCCTTTGAACTTATTGAGTAGTCAGTGCTCATAGAGTTTAAATACTGAAGAGAGAAAATTTGTAGAGCACACAAAGGCAAGGTAGCACTTAATAAAATAGAATATGTGATATCCTGAAAGAGTAAGATGTACATAGAAAAGCTAGTATTGTTTGAAATGTAAAAATTGCCTTCTCTAGCAAACTAGATAAAAACCATTTGATCTGAGTTTTATCAAGTTATGGCATTCCTAATGTGTTAATTTGCATCTTAAATTGG